TTTTGAGTTGTATGGATGGCTGAAGACACGAGACTAAATGTTTCAATGACTTGACCATCCATCCATGATTTGGGGCATGCATATGTGAATCTTCTCCCATATGAGTTCTCTGTGGAGCCCTGAATGACTATCTCCCTCAGTTTGGTGTGCTTAGAGTGAAAGTGGGCCTTTCTCTCCAGCCTGCCTGTGAAACGTTTTGATAGAAACCTTCAGTGGTCATGGCAAGGCGGTGACGTGATAGCCTTTGTTAAGTTCAGAGACCAAAGGAGGTGAAGGTTGCTTTCCTATCTGCAGTGACTAGCCGGAGACGGTAGCCTGGGCGTGGGCCCTGTGCCCCATGCCGGCCTGGAGGGGAGTGCTGTGCTGACAGAACTGCTGCTGCCCTGTTAATTCAAGGAAGGGGTAACCCCTCACAGCTGCTGCTTGTAACCCGCTTGCCTTCTGCCTCCAGCCTGTACGTGGGATCACTGCAGGCATGAAGTGAAAGGGAACTGATCCTTCAGCAGGGGTGGAATGGGGGCTTCAGGGGGCTGCCTTCCCCGTGGTGTTACACATGCAGTGTCCACAGCCTGGTTTTTGAGACTTCTCAGAACCGAGTTTCAAAAGATACAAGGCCACAAAAAAGTTTCTGTTTACGTAAGTTTAACAAGCCCTTACTAAAGGTTTGGTGCGTAGACTCCAACCTGTTTCACTTCAAGTGTCGGGTATGTTTGAACTTTAAGTGAAACATTAGCTAACACATGTCTGGATTCCCTCCTTCAAGAGGCCCTGAGTCTCCAAATATTTTCTGGGGTGCGAGTCCTTTACTCAGGTTTTTCTTGACTTGATTTTTCACAATTTTTGGCTGCCACACTTTCTTAGTATCTTGCAGCAAGGCTGGATTCAGCCCATTGTGTGAGAGGGTGAATGTGTCTGTATCCCCTGGAGCTAGCTGTCCTCCTTGGGGGGGACTTAAACGTTTAAGGGACATTTTTACTGAAACCAGCTGCTAGCACGTGTAGATGTTCTGATGTCTGCTATGCGGAGATGGAGAAGGATGTGTGCCAAGTCTCGATCAGTGCACTTGAGGAAAAAGAATGGATAACAAGCTAGTTGCTTTTCTCCTGCCCCTCTTTTTAATGACACATTTTAAAATTAAATAGGGGAGATTAGCTTCTAGGTGTTTAACTTGCTCACCTCAAGTGGAAAAGCAAAAGGCAATGTCTACATCTGAAATGGACTGAAATCACTAGCTGTATTAGAAGTAAAATTGTGTTTAGGTGAGTAACCTCGAACAGTGGGATGTGTTTTCCCCGACTGCAGAATATAGGGGATTTCATCAAGAGAAACAATTGTACAGTGAAGCTGATTAGGCCTAGCTGTCAAATCCACTAATAAGCACTTTTTAAAAAGTTAATGAAAAATTATCTATTTTTTTCATATTTGTTTGGAAAATTACCTTTTAAGTTGATATGATGGAAGGGATAAGAGACAACTGTGTATTTCTATTTTTTGGTTATTACCTATTACAAATTCACTAAATCTAAAAGATGCTACTGGACATTGTCTATCTCTGTTCCATCTATGCATGTGTGAATGTTTTGGCAGTGTCTCCTGTAAACAGGATGCAGAGCTGTCAGAACCCTGTTTGACTGCAGTTGGTGTTTTGGAAAGCGCATGAACAAATTCAGCTGCTTGTATCGCCTCCATGCACATATGCAACCTTCCTCCTTTTCTTCTGCTGAGATGCTATTAATTAAATCTCTTTGAACTCGATCCCCAAGACCAAATACTGTGGATTAAACACAGCATGTAATACTGCGTTTTGTTTTCTGCCATTGCTGTGTTACTTTTCCTGCGATGTTAATATTGAATTGTTTGGAATAGCCTTAGAGCTGACTAGTTACTGTGTTTCTTGGTAGCGCTATATGAACAGGGCATTAATGATGCCTTACTATGTATGCTATTCTGGTTTTGAAAAAACAAGCATTTTTCTGATGCAGAGGTGAGATGCAGACCCTGGTATATAAAGCCTCTTGAAACGTAAACACTTCAATGGAGAATCTCTAAATGGAAAAGGGTTTGCAAGGTTTTGGGGTTTTTTTTTCTCAAGCAAATAAATATTGCCTCTTTCTTAGTTTCAAGAAACATGGCACACAGCTGCTCTTTACTCCTTGTTGTAAAATAACGGGCCATTTGCTGACTGAAGCAAGCTATTGGCATTATTGCCAGCAGCTGCTGAACTCTTAGTGTTAACAGCTCATAAATGTTAATCGTGGCAGTTTTGTTAGAGCTTGTCTGCATATTCCAGAGGCACTAGCTAATATGTCATACTTTTCTCACATGAACCACTGTCATTTCTTAGCAGAGATTCCGCATAGTAACTTCATAATTCAGTAGTTTTACTGTGTTGGCTGAAGTTTCTTCAAAACTGTGCTTTTAGCTACAGTTCACTGTACTAGTGTAGCCTTATTTAGATGTTTCAGTAGGCTCAAAGCTGCTGAGCACACGGCGCAATGAGTACGCAGTTGATGGGCATATGCTGTCTGCTTACTGACCTGTTGTTTGGAGACTTGTGACAGTCAAATCCAAATCTAACCTGCACAAAATCCGTGCAGTCTGTCCCATGTCTTGGTTTAAAGTCATTTTGATATTGTAATTGTCTGCTCCTATACAAGTGTGAAAAGATCACAGGAGATGTAAGGTTGCTGTAGAAATAGGTGTTATCTGCATAATAAACAATTAATGTGCTGTGGTCTTTTAACAGTCCCTCCCACTCCTTAGCCAGTGGGAATGTGTTCTTAAAAATAAGACAAAGCTCCTGAGCAAACTAATCCTTTCTTTCCTTCAGGTCATACTGATAGAATCTGTTCTCTGTAGAAAACATTGGTAAGGGCCCAGAACCTGGTTTTGAAGCCTGTCAAAATGGTCGTAAATATAGCACTAGTGAAAGCATAGATAACCAAGTAAAAGTTGTTGTATTATTATAGGAGTTTAACTTTTTGGTTTTAATTATTGTGAAGGTCAGAAAGAGGACAGCGTTGTTGCTAGCCCATGCCATATAGAGACATGCTTACTGCATCTAAAATCTGTTCTCTCATCCTTACTTTTGTGTGAGCATCCAGTGAAATGTTTTCTCTGTAGGGCAGTGGTGTATGTTTATCAGAACTGCACTTGGTGCCTGGAGGCTATGATTTGTACCAAACTAGTTGAAACTGTAGTTAGTCTAGGCTTCTGGTATCATCAGCTTGTGAACACAGGTTAAGCTGGCTACTCCCTGCTGTGTATATTTGGATGGTGCTTTTGGGGGAGGAGGGGGTATGCTGTTCCTCTTTAGGGTTCTCTCCTGACTGCTTGCAGAAGAATTTCTCTCCTTGAAGACATGTGCAGGGCAGGGACAAGTGTTGCGGTCTGATGCTAAACAGATCCTATCGTGTAAGGTGAGAGGTTCCAACTTGAGCTGGAACTTCTTGGGCTTTACAAGATAGATGTCATGCAAGGAAGTCTGTTTTAGAATGCAGAAGATCATAAACAGGACCTTTTTTTTGGTGGCTATTAAAGTTTCAAACCAAAGACAAATAAGGCTAACACTACAACATACGAAAATCTGTGAGCAAGGGTTTGATCACAAAACATTAATTTAGTCATCGTATTTCCTAGGAAAGGAGTAAATGTCACTCTTCAACTCGGGGGATGTGAGAACTTGTTTCTGGACTTTCTCCTAAAAGTCTGGAGAAAGACTGGATAATATACGGTCTAGTAGGTTTTGGTTTAGAAATGAAACAGAAAACCCTCTGGGAAAGTAGAGGGGACTCCAGATTGTGTGTGTGTGGTTACATTATGATTGCATGACTGGTGATTTGGGAAAGGCATAACTGTAAAAAGAATTTTGGATTTTTTTAAAAAAAACTTCTGAGTTCACTTATTTGTAAAGCAGTGGTGTAGTTTATATGACCATCCAACTGTCAGTTCTGGTCATGTCTTTCTCAGTGCTTTTCAGTGAGTTTCTAGGTGGCTTTGGTGTTCCCCCACACCACCAAAGGGTCTGCCTAAGAATTCTACTGTTGCCCTTTTGATTCTGTTCTATCTACATACATGTCATGCAGCAGATTGACAGCTGCTGAGATTAGATGCAACTTTGAAGATCAAAAGTGATACTTAAATAAGGAAAAAAAAAACCCCACCCTCAGTCTGATTGAGTAGCTCAGTGAGGACTATATGTGCCTTGTTTTGAGTCTGAAAGTAACTTTTTTTTGTGCTGCATTCTTAAACTGACATAATGAAAGCATGCTCAAGTGACTGAGTTAAAAAATAAATTAAGAAAATGGTGACCTGAATCTTGGTTCTGTTCAAAATTCTGATTCAGAAATGTTTTATTGTGGTTGCACTCTAACTTAAAAATGAGGGGGTTTTGACCACATGCTTATGTCGGGGCACTGGTGTGAATTGGATGCTGATGAAAAGCATAAATGACTTGAGAGTTGTTTGCCACACGTAGAAGGCTGTGTACCTGACACACCCTGGTTTTGTGTGATAATTCTGTAACTGAATTTTCAGTGCTGAAAAGTCTGAATGAATGACCTAAAAGTTGTTCCAAATCTAATTGTTCCAAGTCTGAGCAAAGGAATAAATTGATTTTGAACATGAAGTCCTACATTCAGGATTTGGTTGTAGCTTTGCAGAGATTTCAGGAAAGTAGGAGTTGAAGGAGGTGGCAGAAATTAGATGCAATGTATGGTGTACACTGGTATGTCTGAAACTGTATGGTTTGAAACCCAAACAGGGTAATGAACTGCCAAAGAAGTGCTTGTCTACCCAGGAGGGGGAGGTACATCACCAGTACCATCTTTGATATTACTTGTGTGATTCATAGGTAGGGACACAAGTTTATTAGGGAGTAACTTGTGTGTTAGTAGATAATTTGTGTGAGGAGAAGAAAAGCAGCGAAGAACTGAAATATTAAAGGTGAAGAAGAAAGGTTGTCAAACGTACTAATCACTTATTTCCTTCTCTTGCAGACCTTCAAGTGCTGACCTTCTTGGTCTATTAAGTTATTATAAACTTTTGCTGCTCTGCGAACGTATAAAAATGTCTCGCAGCCCTGATGCTAAGGAAGACCCTGTGGAATGCCCCCTTTGCATGGAGCCTCTGGAAATTGATGACATCAACTTCTTCCCTTGCACCTGTGGCTACCAAATCTGTCGTTTCTGTTGGCATCGTATTCGCACTGATGAGAATGGACTTTGTCCTGCTTGCAGAAAGGTAAATATCCCGGAACAGCGGCTTGTTCTGCACAGATCACAAGGCTCTTGCGTTGTGTTGGTACCAAAGACATCTTTTTCCGTTGGGGAAACATTCATCTAGTCATGGCCTAGATCAAGGGTGAGGTGTTGGATCTTTCAGATTCTGTCTCCGTACGTTTCGAAGCTGTTGTGCAACGGGTAGTCTTGGTTTGTTAAATTCAGACCTGGATTAATAGGGGAAGCTGTGGATCAGAACCAAAGCATGCAGATGCTGGGAGAACTGCCAAAAAGAAAAAAAAAAAATCCTTTGAGTTGGGGTGCTCATGCATTGACAGAATCTTTTCAGGAAGGACAGTGAGGATTCCAGCATCAGAGGTTTGCTGAGGGCCAGGGTTTGGCTAAACTAGCAGAGCTATCTGAGGCAAGCTTAAAAAAAGCACCTGCTTGTTTTGTTTGTGCAACTGGATCTTTTAATCCATATTTTTCTGGACGCTAAACATGTAAAACCTTTGGAAAATATATCCAATGGAGTTAAACTTCAAAGCATTTAAAAGTCGAGGCTAAGTCTATTTGTCTAGTATTCTCATCTTGTTGCCGAAGGTAGTTCTTTGAGAGCCACACTTAAGTTCTCCATATCTATTCATTGGTGTCTGATACTTTGATTAGCCACAACTGTAAACTTCAGCTTCACTTAGTTGCCTGCTTTTTATGCTGAATTATTCTCCTTCTCCTCCTCCTTTCAGTGTTTTACTTAACTTCGTTATTTCCTTGTCTTTGGTGTTTAATAAAATTCTTTTTCAATATCTTCATCTCTTTAACTGTAATGACTTCCCTTGATTGTAACACTTTTGCTTAGCCTTCCTCTTTTTGTAATTGCAGCTACTTATGTCCCCTCTTTCTCCTGCTATTTAATCATGATCCTGTCCTCAGTTTGTGCCTTTATTGGCTTCCTGTCTCATATTACAGCTCCCTCTTCAGACCCCAAGTAATCTTACTTGGTCTTGCTATCTTTATTCACTGCTACAGCTTTCTATAGCACTTTCAGTCATACTTTCTTGCTAGAGCTGTCACTGCTAACCTGTTTGGATGCCTTTGCAAGCGTGAAGGCTTATCTCACAGCAATGTGTGCTTGTTAACAAATTACACACATCTGGTGCAGTATTTGAACTGTATGTTCTGCAAGGAAGATCCACCTGCCATTGGCCAAATCAGTCCCCACATGTGATACCTGCTGTAGATGGCACGTGCCATATAATAATTTTGATAGTCCAAGACAACTTCTACACTGGCACAGACGTGAGACTTCTGGAATTTCCTTATCAGTGTAAGTCACTTCACTTACCTGGATTTATTACGCTGCTTTTTGCCAACAACTTGATTCATCTGTTCGTTATTGGAATTTATGGAATATATCTGGGGAATCACAGCAGCAGCATGCTATTAATTGTCTCTGGGTATCTGAATTCTTTGAAATATGGATATTGCAACAGCTGAACTTCTCAATGTGGAATAATCTGGCGTGTGATTGGATGTGCAAATATTTTGCTGAATTGGATACAGTTTACTTAGAAAAACAGCTTTGGGAGAAAAGCTAGAATGAGTGCTGCAATCGGAATGAAGCACACCGACTGTCCCAGGAGAGGAAGAAGGCCCCCTTTCTTTACGATGGATGAGGATTACGTTCTTTATACTTTCTTCATCCTGGACTGGAAGATGTTCCTGAGTAGAGTTGCAGCTATATCGCCGGACTGTAGGAGACTTGCGTGGAGGAGGCTGGGGATTACATTCATTTCATGGCATGGACAAAGACATTGTGGAGCAGAGACACCATCAGGATCATGGGAATAAATAACTTTGAGCTATGCAGTGGATGGCAGCATCATATGGTCTGAAGGAGCCAGTTTTTGAAGTGTGCTGGACCCTCTGAACCAGGTATGTGTTTTTCTGTGCAGCTTGTCCTGTCTGTGTAGTAAGGTTTCTGGGGAAGAGATCTAAGTCTTCTAATTCTTGTCCCCTATGGTGGGTATTGGTTGTGACCACTTAAAATGCTGGAGCATGGAAAGTGGCGAAGGAACAAAATTTTTGCAGGGAAGTTTATAGTAGGCACTATGCTTTCAACAGGTACATCATGTTTAGCGTGTGCTTTCCAGTGCAGGGTACTGCAGAAAGGACTCTGATACGTTAAGGCAAGGCTCTCTGTGTTATGCACCATTACGTATTATGAAATAACTATTTGTGCCAATGGTGTTGAACGCAGGGCAAATTCTCCAGTGGTTTGGTCTGTGGAGAGGAGCAATAAAATTCCTTATCCAAGGATTTTGGTTTAAAGGTTTGGGGGAGGTTTTGGAAAAGTCTGTGATAAAATGATGTGGCTCTACACTGTCATGGCAGTGTTAGTTTGAGAGCTCTTAACTGTGTATTGCATATATACCATTGTTTTCCTAAGTTGCTCTATCTTGGTTCTAACTGAAAAGATATTAGCCTGCGTTGTTTTCTGTCAAGGAGAAAATACTTCTACGTGCTTAAACTATTATATAGCTTAACACTTGCATGTGCAGAGTATGTTCATGTTCATGTCATTGCAGTCAATTGAGTTGGTGTCTCTTAAGTTTCCTCCTGTTAGTAACAGTAGTAGGCAAAATTTGCTTTGTTTCACTTTAAGGTGCCAGTATGAATTTAACTTGAATGCTGTTTGGAAATTAGTTAGTCTTAGCACAAAAGCTTTCTAAACTTTGTCTGAATCTTCTGAAATAAACTCTGAAATTGTTTTTAATTCATTAACTACAAAAAGTCCTGCCTTAAATAGAACTGACCTGCTTTGAGTTCCTGATGCCCTTCAGGATTGTAGGTTTAATCGATTATAAGATGCTAAGCAAGCCTTCCTGTTTTTTCCAGTCAATTGATTTCTTAACTGTGAGTGAAATAGTGGCTAACTATTCAAATTAGAAGGAAAATATGCTGTCCTCAAAAGAGGATTCTGTAGCCAAAAGCTGGTTTAAAGGTCAGCAGGCTCACTGGTTCTGGTAGTAAAGCCAGTGGTGGTTTTCCTCCCCCCCCCCCTAAAATTCGGCAGCCTAGGTACTGTTTGTCATATACAGTTACGTTGCTTTAATAGAGGATAGCACTCACATCTTGATGTGAGCTGTTGCAATTTTTAAATCCAACAATAAAAAAGCCTAGCTCCTTCATGTTTCTTAATTCCTTTGCCCTTCCACCAAATAATAACTTGGTAACACAGCTGTTTCTGTGGTGTGGCTTTGTCTTGTCTCCAGTTCCTTGACTTAGTAGTGAGCTTTATTCCTGCTAGCACCTTCTGTTAGAGATGGAGAGAAATAGTAAACTTCTATGTTTATGACCAAGAAACTAATGTATTTTAATCACGTTTTTGTCCATGCTTTTCCTACTCCTGCCTCTGTGTAACTGGTCTGAAAGCACAGTCTCCAAATTCTGAATGTCATTAGTTTCCTCCAGCACTTTTAATCCCCCAACTGAGTAGTTTGGTGTAACAATTGGTATTTAGAAATATATATAAAACTGCTATTTTTTTATTCTTGATACAAGTAATATGGTATATACTATGCATAAATTTATGGACTTTCTCTATTTCTCATTTCAGACCCTATTTGGTAGCAAGGCAACAACTGGGAAATATTGGTGCATCCGTTGTGTGGAAGGAATATGACTCATCTGGGAATGCCAAAAGCAAAGTGCTTGATAAATCCCAGCTCAGCTTTCAACAATTGGGAAAATGTGGGGGAAAAAGTCTGAAAGAAAACAGAACTTAAATGACAAGACAAACTCAGTCAGGAAAACTGAGAATTCATCAAGGGCCATCTCTGATTAAAGAAATGATATACTACAGAGGAGACATTCAAACTTCTGATAAAGTTCTTGTAGGACTACCAACAACTTGCAGTTACTGTAAATGAAGTCTGGTAATTTTCCAAGTTGCCACTTCTTGTTTGGGCGGCTTCCATGTTTTTTTGCTGAAGAGGATTTGTATAACTTGTGGAGGATGTCAGTTTAACTTAGTCAGTGAATCAATGGTGTTGACATCTCAGCCTTGCGTCTGAAAATACAAAAATGCTGATAACACCTGATGTAGCTACTTTTGCTTGGATCTCGAATCCTCTACCAGCTAAGGAGTTGGTGATAGTAGGTTAAACAAGCATCTTAGGCTTCTTGGTCATTGGGACCATCTAGCCCCTTGTTTTATGCCATGTGAAATAGATCTATCTAAGGTATGTCAAAAAAAAAAGTGGTCGTGTCAGTAGCATTGCCATTTCAGGTGTTGCAGGACCTGAGAGCTGCTGGTACCTGTGGTCTTCCGCCTGCCTCTATTTTGTAGGGTTGGACAGAGTAACCAACAGATTAAATGACACTGAGATACAACCAGCAGTCAATCCACCCTGCTTGGCTTTCGTAGCCATGTTCCACCAGCCTTTCCTGCAGGCGTTCTGTCTGTAGTTAAACTATCGTCTGATCTCATGAATGTCAACACGGTGGGAAGCAATCACTCCAAAGATGAGGTTATTTTTATTGTCCTATTTGTAGACTGCCTTTAGGTCCTTATTTGAAAGGAATAGGTTTTTTTAATACTTACTATTTTTCAGAATTAGCTTCTAAAATGTTGGTGCTGTGTTTACTTTCCTTCCTCCCTCCTTGAATGCACAATGTCTCTTATCTCTCATCACGTCACACATTATATATAGATAGGAAAATAATCTATCACTTGTTAGGATTGAGTTTCTGATTTATTCTTGGGATTCAAGAGGTATGTGCAGATTCATTTACAGGTCTTGCATGTCAATGTGTCCAATACTCATATTCCTTAGAAGCATCATGTCAAAGGACTGAAATGTATGTATGGAACATTTCATATATAATACAACCCTACAGTATCTAGTGAGAATTTCTGATGATTCTGTTGCTCAAATGTGCTGTTATTGTTGATTGCAAATCAACTGCTGCTACTTCATCATTTGAAAACCTTATTCTCATACTTTCTGCTGAGATGAAGACATTTCTCTTCCCTGATTCTGAATTTGCTGTCTAGTTATGTGTCTCCCAGCAGTTTTTGTGTTTTCCTGTACAAATAAAGCTACTAGTTTTACTATGACAAATAAACGTTCTGCTCGGGATTATGCTCGAGCTACCTGGGATGTTTCCTTACTAATGTTCAGCATCTCCAGTAGTAAATAGCTCTATAGAAAACGAATGTACTGTCTGACTTGCTTCTCACTTGAGAATATGCCCTGAATGTGGCTGTGCTTGGCAAGAAAGCAGCTGATGAACTTTGACAGTGTTTGCTGTAGTTTTCCTGGACTTTCATGAGCCTTACTGAACGTACCGAAAACTATGAATTCATTTCTTGTGCAGTACAAGAGAGCAGCACACTTGCAAGCCTTGCCTTGTGTAGTATGGCATGTGGACAAGGAATTAATCAGTGAAAGGATGGATTATGGGCATGATAGCACATCACTTGATGTTGGGCGAGCCATTTTGGTTTTGGAACTGTATCTTATACTGGTGCCCTTGTTTTCTTCCCATTCCTACCTGAACTCGGCTTGACCGATAACTGAATTAACCCTCTTGCCAAGCAGCCTTTCTCTTCCCTCAAAACAGAAGTTTTTAATGTTTATTCTACATGATTGACTAACACAGCCTTTGAGAAGATCTTAAAATGCCTTGCAGAATTGTTCTGCATCTCTGAAGTCCTCATGTGTGCTTGTGTTAAAACTAGAGATAATTATTGGCTATAGCTAATCTCAAGTGACCTTACTAACAGGTAACATTATGAAATCTGTGTAAAGTTTTCAGTGTTGCTTGTGAATAACACGATTTTTTAAGAAATGGTACTGTTTTAACTGTTCAAGAACAACATTAGTTCTTAGTGTGTTTTTGTGTTAAGGACTTAGTGGTATACCTTTTAGCTACTGCTGAAGTATCTTACAAGTTTAAATTCCTTTGTGATACTAAAAGCATATTCCAGAGGACTTGGTGTTTAAACATAAGACTCCATCTGTGAAGTCAGCTGAAACATATATTCAGAAGATGTGTCAAGTATAGTGTAATGATGCTGAACTTTAAACTCTTTAAACTATAACATGGATCTCGTTTTGTTTGGAGATGTACTCAGAAGACCATCAGGCCTGAGGGCTTGGTGGCTTTTTCAGTAGCATTCTGCAAGTACAAGGAATATATGCTTTTAACCGAAACCTTGTTTTCATTTGCTGCTATAGATTTTCTCAGGTCATTTAGTATGCCAGTTTTGTATTCTACTATGAACAGAGGACAGTCAGGAAAAAGTTAAATTTATTCTTGTTGTACACCAAAACCTTTGGTTATGGTGGTACAGGCAAAGAACTTCCACGTTCGGTGTATTGGTGAGCTTTACTTTGTAATATCTTTACTTTGCACATCTCCTGTTCTCTAACCTCCTCCCCCACTTCATCTCAGGGTTCAGAAACACTTCTTGTTGTTTGAGATGTATGTACTTCCCTCTGTGCCTAGCAGTGCTTTGAGTATGAAGTGTGAAATCTAATTTTTCAGTCTGAGAACTGGGACAGAAAAGGAATATGGGATTGCTTTGAGGAGTAATCTGGGTCAGAGAACAGTGCACTGCAGTCTACAAGACCAGGCTAAAGAGCAATCTTTCTGGGGAACTCTGAGGACACTTATATCTCTGCTAGACTTTTAAGATTAAAATCTACAGTGTTATGTCTGTGTTTGAGAAGTTATCTGTAGATTATAATCTTGAGGTTAAAAATGCACCTTTGTCCAGGAAAGAAAAAGCCCAAGTTTGACTGGCACACAAGCATGGCAAGAATACTCTTAATTCAGTATGCGCTATCCATATTGAAATCTGTCGCTTCACTAGGAGTTAACCATATAAAGATTGAGCCGTGTTACTGTCTGAACTTGGCAGGCCACTGAAATTGTTTTTGATTTCTTATCCTGTAGTCTTCACTTTGTTAATATACTTAAGTACCCGAATCTGTATCAGAGAGCTAAATATAAAGTGAATATGCAGGGCATGCTTTCACCCTGCTTACTATGCTATATTAGTGAAATGTTAACAGGATGTGTTGGCTGTCATGCTGCAGCTGCTTGTAGTGTTACCAGACTGACTAAGCAGCTGGGTTAGAATGTGACTATTGCCCAAATAATTAATTATGTCTATAAATAGGAGAAGTTCATTAAAATATACAAGATGCTAATCTATCCCAAAGGACTGAATATGCTACTTCTATAATGTGACTGGCCATAACAATCAGAACAGTATAACAGAAGCAAGAAATCTGTGCATTAGAGCATTGGGCTTAATGATTTTCAAACATGTTGTTTCTTATGTGGGTTGTTTTTAATGGTATTTGTTATATTTAGCCATATCCAGAAGATCCAGCAGTGTACAAACCACTCTCCCAGGAAGAGCTGCAAAGGATAAAAAATGAAAAGAAACAGAAACAAAACGAGAGGAAACAGAAGATATCAGAGAATCGCAAACACTTGGCCAGTGTACGGGTTGTGCAGAAGAACCTTGTCTTCGTGGTAGGGCTGTCTCAGCGCCTAGCAGATCCAGAGGTGAGCAGTTCACACTTGCAGATCTTGCACTTAACTTACTGTCAAGGAGCTGTTGGAATACCCTTGTGCCCACCCTTGTTTGTCTCCTTGATTGGTACAATATGAAGCAGCACTGGAAAGGTTCGCTTATGCCCCCCTCTTAACAGAAACAACTCAGCTTCCACCTCCAAGATAACCTCAATAAGTGTTTGTCTTTGCTTTTGGGAGTATGGATGCTGATTTTAGTTAAGGAAACTGTTCTTTGTTTAGAAATGGCATGTTGTTAACCTAAAAATAAGCTTAAGGATTTTTTTAGGTATTTATTTTCTTAGGCTGGATCTTCAACTATACAGTTGTCATGCACCACGAGTTCTAAAATGGGAACGTGAAGTGTAGCACAAACATGGAGGGACAGAAGAAAAGCTAACACTTGAAGTGTAACTGAGAAGGAGCATAACATTGATGTTGGTTGAGGAAAAACTTAGTAAGAGGAAGACCCAGGGAAGAGTTGGCTTGCTACTCTGCGTCATCAAGAAGGAGCTCTTCATTTGAGAAAACTGATTGTATTTAAGACATTTTATTTACTTCCTTTATCAGTTAGCTGCAGGAGGCTAGTGGACTTACTGCTAATGAATAAAAGTACCTTGAATTAAAATATGGAGGGAATGTACTGCAGGATAAGGCAGATGTCTTCAGAACTACTGTGCAAATTTAAATTCATGTGACCAGACTAAACTGTCTGGAGAAATCTCAAACAGAAATGTGTGTTTCTGAGGACTTACTGAGTACGGGCTGCATTTTGGTAGACTGGGAAAGAACATAGGTAAAAAGCTGCTTTTAGTGGAGGGGGAGAAAAAGGGAGGATGTGAAGGAAAGAGAAAAATTGAAGTGGTCTGGCATATAACACTTCAGCTTCTACAAGAACAGAACAGCAAGTATTTGCAAGCAACTGGCAACAGTGGCTTGGTGCTATTTATTAGTGAAAAATGTGATTTGTTTCTTTGACCAGATAAAGGATTTGTGAGTAAGAGAAATAATAGTATATACACTTGCAGGGTGTTTTTAACTTCAGATAGTGGTGCACTGAGTATTTGAAGTAATTAGGAGTGGGTTTATTGGCGTAGTAAGGGGTGTGTGTGTTGTACTAGCTTTGGTGGTAGCAGTGTTCTCGCTGACGTACCAGAGGATAATGTGTACTTACTGAATACTGCATGTGGCACCAAGATGACTTGATTTCCAAGAAACCTAGCCTGAAAGAGAGAGATGGGCTAAAAAACACTACTCAGTTTAAGTTTTCTACTTAAGCAGGCAAAATAACTCCTGCACAAATAAAGATGATTTGGAAGGGGAGATGGCCTGCTGTTTGCTCTTCCTGGAAATAGATCTGTGGATCATAATGGAGTACAGGTGGATCCACTTCTGTTGACCTGCTTTTGTGAAAATTGTGACGGCCATGCTACTATATCTTACCAGGAATATAATCTGCAAGACGTGAAGAAATTCTTCTGCTGGACTGATACCTGAGGGTGGGTGTAGGGTCTTTCTAGAGGGACATAGGTCAAGTAAACAGCAGTCAGAAGAGACCAGTGAGTGATGGGTTGTCTATACAGTGTGCCCTGTCGTTCTGCAGGATGTTCTAAATGTGGCTAACACTGTTAAGTCTTGAAGACATTGATGGAACTTTGGAAAAGGAAAGGAAGTTGTTAGGTAAAGAAGTTCTTGGATCAGTGCAGATTAACTGTACTAACCAGTGCTTATATGAAGAAGAATGATGGGGAAACAAATCTTCCTTTTTAGCCCCTCAGGTTCTTGTCTAGAACTAGAAATACCTGTAGCTTCAGCCTGAGTAGTCAGTACTTCTGCACCTCCTTCTATCACAGGGATAGAAAAAGAAAGGCTTTTGGTACCATGTGTCAGATTGCCAGTTCCATGTGCACACAGGTAACAGTTATGTAATAGAGCTGCTTAATGTTAGAGATGTTCCTGCTTTGCACAGGATCCTGAAATGGTGTGTTAGTAGTAACTGATGCAGGGAAGGGTAAGGCAGAAATATTTTTTTTTCTTCAGGGATGTGGTATTGACTTATTCATTTCAGCATGATGGCGTTTCAGAAACGACTTTTCTTGCCCCCGGGAAGTGTCATATATCATCATATTGTACTTGTGAAAACATGAGGCTATCTTGAGCTAACTGGTTTACTGTCTTTCTCTTTGGAGTGGGGCAATTGAGTCAGGATTCAGTGTTTTGTTCCTAGCAGTTAATATATCTCGATGCAAGTTTAAGGTGTTTATTGTAAAACTGGAATGAATGTAGGGATTTTTTTCCCCCCTTAGATTATGTAATAGATATGTACAGGAATATTTCATGCTGAATGGGACGTACCTTGCCAGGGTAGGGACAAAGTAATTTGAGTACTGAAATTACCCAATTATGTTAAAAAAACCAGGATGTCACTCAAGTTCTTAACTGTAGTGACAACGTACTCTGTATTCCAAGTAACCTTGTTTTCTGTTGGAAAACAAAGCTACATCTATGTGCTCTCTTCTTTTTTGTAGGAGACCTTTTCTTCATTAAAGACTTCAGTTGCACAGATACCCAGAAGAATAAGTACAGTCCTGTATGAATTGACTTTTCAGTGTACCACTTTAATTTTCTTTTCTTGTAGGTTTTGAAACGACCGGAATATTTTGGGAAGTTTGGTAAAATACATAAAGTTGTCATTAATAACAGCACATCATATGCAGGCTCACAGGTAAGCCAGAGGCCCTGGTGATTTTTTTTTCATTCCTTTATAGAAAATACATGTGCAAAGTGAACCTGGGGCTCCCTATTTCTGATTAAGCAGTATGTTAAAGAAGTGAAAAGAAAAAAACATCCCAGTAGTGCAAAAATCACATTACTGGTAAGCTACTGAGGTATTGTCCAACCATACTTTCAAAGTCCAGATACAAGATGCAATGTAAAAAGATTAAAAATGGTGAGACAGGCTGAGAGCCTTCAGAGAAGCAGTAGTGAAGCATTAACTCACTGTTTCTGCATTTCAGGGATAAAATACCTGAAACATTTTGATACATTTGTTCCTTTCCTCATTATCTATGCATTGCATCTAAATTTTTATGAATTCTACAGTTTTTTGTCCAACAAAACCAACAGGTTTTTCTGTTTAGAAACATCTAACCATGAATATACCAGTTTACGAAGTGAGCTGCTAAAAAAGCAACTTAATGGTACTTTTTCTTTCTAGGGTCCAAGTGCCAGTGCGTATGTAACCTACATCCGGTCAGAAGATGCTCTCAGAGCCATACAGTGTGTCAATAATGTTGTGGTAGACGGCAGAACACTTAAGGTGGTAATGTTTTTATGTTCTTATGTATATGTGCTAGGACACCAATGTTGATGCGTAGTATAAAATTTTGTTCGTATAGATAGGCTTGTATTGATGAACAAAAATGTCCAGTCTATTGGGTATTGGGGTTTGACCTATTTTCTTAGCATTACTCACAACATGGAAGTTGAGTGAGATTACAGCAGGCAATGTTTTAGGGGGTTTGCAGGTAACTTCTTAAAACACAAAGTTGAGACAAAGGAAGAGATGCACCACCTGCCCCTTCCTACAATGTTTTGAGGTGTTTTTTTCTGTATGTGCTGTTCTTAATAGCACAGTGTGAAAACCTGACTGTTTGATTTTACAGAGGATTTCTGTAGTCCAAACTTCACATCTCTCAAATGCTAGTTTTTCCCTTTTGGTGTCTTCACTTGGCCAAATTGATGGCTACAGAAAATCATCTAGTTAGTAGTAATTTCATGACCCTGTTATAAAACATTAACCAGTTTCATGTAATACCAACTCATAACTACTTATTTGGCTTATTATGATTATGAATGTAAATATTTACTGAGGCTCTTACTTTGGCATTTATTTAGATTGGATTAAAATATAAATACATCCTAATTACCTAATCCTGAAATATATAGATTATTTTTTTTACAAGTGGATGTGTTAGTCCATCTGCATAAAAAAAAAAGAATGTTCTCTTACAAACCTTGGGAAGGGTGGGGTATTTTTTGCAAATAGAGGTCTCTTCCTATATTGTAAAAGGCATTCTTATCCTCCAATAATTAAGTAATCTTTTTTTTTCTTTAGGCATCTTTAGGTACAACAAAATACTGCAGTTATTTTCTGAAAAATATGCAGTGTCCAAAACCAGACTGCATGTATCTACATGAGCTGGGAGATGAAGCAGCCAGTTTCACAAAAGAGGAAATGCAGGTAGGTGTAATGAGTGGGAAACGCATAAAATATAACATGTATGTTATTGTATATGATATATATAATGTAGTCTTCTGCTGAATGTTATGGCAGTGATGAATTTTGAAATCCAAAAAGTGATTAACCAGTTGGATATTGGAAGTGAACCATTAGTTAATTTTTTTCATTCCATGCTGCTTTAGAGGGCTGAAAAGTCTACTAAGTGTTCATGAGTCAGAAAGATGAATTCTTAGCCAAGAATTCAAATAACCTTGAGTTAGCTACATGCCCTTTGTTCACACCAAGGTGAGATAAACATATGTTATTTTAAATCTCTGTGAAGTTAGTGCAGATCTGTGTTTTCCCGTAGATTTTGTCTGTTAAGCCATGATAACTGTTTTAACTATTGTACTGTGATTTGACCATGCTGTCTGAATTCTCATGTCCCTTTTAGTCTGTAAAGGGTATGGAAACTGGAAATAAAACGTTGAGGGTAACTGTAATAAAGCACAAATACTGATGCAGGTTTTTTTACCATTGCACCATCAAAATGCTTATTATCTAGGGCAGGGAAGCAAGTAAATGGATAGTTTTACTTTCTCAAAGGTGGTGCTTTCTGAGGTATTTTCAGCCTGAGTCTGTCCCTTTAGGTGAAGTATGGTAAAGCTTTTTAACTTGATCTCAAGTACAGCAGCCTTGCATCCATGCTGTAAGTTTTGTATGTGGTCTGTCTGTGAAGCGGGTGATCTCCACCCATAGTGGTAGCACAAATGTTGGACAAGTAGATTTTATGTCACGTGTTAGGCTGATTAAGCCAGAGACTAAGGAAGAATGTCTGTATTAAACACTTCTTCCACAAATTAGCAGGATTTCTGGGGATTTCAGCTACATTTTCATAAACTAAAAAACCCTGCTGGTTCAGATGAATAGTCCCTGTAGTATGTATTTTGTTGTAGATAATGGCAGTAGGAGGTAAAATTCAAGGAGAACTTGTAAACTAGGCTGCCTTCCCTGTTCACTTCCCTGTATTTCTCCCACCACCTAGATATGTTGTACTATACATGTTTGAGGCTTTTGGGTTTTTATAGAGCTGTTGGCCATGAATTTATTTAATTAATTTTGAACATGCTGATACAGTCAACCCTGTAGTCTTTTGTGGCAGCAAGACCCAGAAGCTCACCAACTGTTTTGTAAGGCCCTTTCTTGTGCCAGTGATAAACTGATTTCCAGTTAGATTTGTCAAGTGTTGTCTAATCTTAGCATTGTACTGCTTGCTGAAAGCAAAGCCCTTATTCACATTATCCATTGCCTTTGTGATGTTGTAGAACTTTATCTTATCTCTCTCAGCCTTTTCTCCAAATCACACAGTTTCTGGGCTTTTAAACTTCTTTGTAAAGCAGTTCCTCCATTTCAGTGATTATATCTTTTGCTCTTCTCTCTGTCTTCTAACTATCCTCCTTGAAATACAGGGGTCTGACACATGCTCATGATGTGGGGAAGCAAAGTTTACTATAATAGTCCTCAATGTTTTGTGTGTGGTGTCTTTTTTTTTTTTAAAAGCCTTTCCTAATGAGGCCCAGCACATTTTTTGTGTCTTTTTGCCAGTGCGTAATCAACTAATAATTTCAGAGATCTGTTGGCAGTGACCTCAGTATCTCTTCTCTGAACTGTAACAGCCAGTTCATAGATCAATAGAGCTTTAGTATGATTTAGGCTACTTTTCCATTGGTGTGTTACCCAGTATGTCTCTGGTGAAGCTTATTTGCCACCTTTTTGCCTGTTAGCTGAGTTTTTGGGATTCTTTTGGAGTTCCTCATTATTAGCATGACAGTTTATTACCCAGAGAGCTTGGTATTGTTAGCAGAGAACTTGCTCTTCACTCCTTTCTTGTGCATGCCAAAGGTGTTTCATAAAACTGGTGCCAGTCATCTGTCCTCATTGCTGCTTCTGCATCCTAAAAGGGATGGATGCAGGTCAAGCAGGTCGAGGGAGGTGATTCTGCCCCTGTACTCTGCTCTGGTGAGACCCCACCTGGAGTGCTGCATCCAGCTGTGGAGCCCTCAATATCAGAAGGATATTGACCACTTGGAGCGAGTCCAGAGGAGGGCCACAAAGATGATCAGAGGGCTGGAACACCTCTCCTATGACGAAAGGCTGCAAGAATTGGGCTTGTTCAGCCTGGAGAAGAGGAGGCTCCGAGGAGACCTCATTGCAGCTTTCCAGTATCTGAAGGGGGCCTACAAGGGTACTGGGAGAGGACTTTTTACAAGAGCCTGTAGTGATAGGACAAGGGGTAGTGGGTATAAATTGAAATCAGGGAGGTTTAGATTAGGTGTCAGGAAGAAATTCTTCACAGAGAGGGTGGTGAGGCACTGGAACAGGTTGCCCAGAGATGTTGTGGATGCCCCATCCGTGGCTGTCTTCAAGGCCAGGCTGGATGTGGCTTTGAGCAACCTGGTCTAGGGCAAGGTGTCCCTGCCCATGGCAGGGGGGGTGGAACTAGATGATCTTTAAGGTCCCTTCCAACCCCAACCATTCTATGATTCTATGATTCTAAAAGAGTGACCAGTAAATTTTATCTTTGCCTTTCTATCTTTGAACCAGCTTCAGTCCACACAAGCACATTTCCTCTATCCCAGGGCATCTTCATAAATAACTTCTAATGTGAAACCTTATCAAAGGCTTTTTTGAGCATTTTGTGGATCCTTTTTATTTATGCTTATTGTTACCATCATAAGTTTGTCATGTTAGTGAAGTAGGTTTTCACTTTACAGATGATGTTCAGATTCATTCCCAGCAGATTATGTGTATCCATGAAGTTCCAAGTGCACCCTCAGTAAGTTTGCAGATGTGACACCCAATTGGGTGGTGGTGTTGGAAGTTAGGAAGGCTCTATGGAGGGGTCTGGACAGGCTGGATCGATGGGATGAGGCCAGCTGTATGAGGTTCAACCAGGCCAAGTGCTGGGTCCTGTATTGGGTCACAACAACCCCCTGCAATGCTACAGGCCTGGGGACGAGTGGCTGGAAAGCTGCCCAACGGAAAAGGACCTGGGGGTGTTGGTCGACAGCAGCTGAATGCGGGCCAGCAGTGTGCCCAGGTGGCCGAGAAGGCCAGTGGCATCCTGGCCTGCATCGGGAACAGTGTGGCTAGCAGGATGAAGTGATTGCACCCCTGTACATGACACCAGTGAGGTCACACCTCAAATCCTGTGTTCAGTTTTGGGCCCCTCACTACAAGAAGGACACTGAGGTGCTGGAGCGTGTCCAGAGAAGGGCAGCGGGGCTGGGGAAGGGTCTGGAGCACAAGTCCTGTGAGGAGCGGCTGAGGGAGCTGAGGATATTCAGCCTGGAGAAGAGGAGGCTGAGGGAAGACCTTATTGCTCCCTACAGCTACCTGAAAGGAGGCTGCAGAGAGGTGGGGGTTGGTCTCTTTTCCCAAGTGACAAGTGATAGGACAGGAGGAAAGGGTCTCAAGTTGTGCTAGGGGAGGTTGAGACTGGATATTAGGAAATTTTATTTCCTGAAAGGGTTGTCAGGCACTGGAATGGGCTGCCCAGGGAGGTGGTTGAGTCACCATCCCTGGAGAGATTTAGAAGATATGTAGATGGGGTGCTTATGGACCTAGTTTAGTGGTGAACTTGGCAGTGCTAGGTTAATGGTTGGACTTGATGATCTCCAGGGCCTTTTCCAACCTAAAGGATTCTAAGGTTTTATCTTTACTGTAATTTTTTTTTAGACAAACTCTATAATCTTAAGAGGGATGGAGGTTGAACTTAGCAGTTTATAGTTCACAGGATCTCTTCTACATCCCTTTTTGTAGAAGACAGTGCCAATTTATCAGTCCTCTGGCCTTACGGCCAGTTAAAATTGATATGATACTTTGGCCAGGAATTCAGTTTCACATGTGAGTTCTTTCAGAAGTCTTGAGTTTATTGTACTTGATTTTGGTGACTTAAATTTATCTATCTTTCCTGTTCCTTGTTACCTTCCTTAAACTTTCTTCTTTCTTACTGTTTTCTTGGAAATCATTGGAAATCACACAACTGTTGAAAAGTGCATTATGCTTTCAGTGCATCAGCTTGCTGGAGTCTGGGTTGGAGTCAATGAATTTACGGGTCTGTTTCATAAGATTGAATGCTCGTTGTCACAGACTTTGATTCTCTATTTTAAAAAAAATTGTCATTGGCTGAACTTAATTCTAGGTTCAGTAATTACTAATAGAGCTAAATGTTGTGACAAACTGAAAAGAACTGGTAGAATTCCAGGAAGTTTCTGAAAGTGAAGTTGGGAATGTAGGTAAGGTATGTTGGAGATGCTAAGTTTGGCCTCTGGATTGCTTGTTATAAATAAAGCATGATTACTGTAAACTCCTATATAGGTTTTTAATCTCGCTGCTTTCTTACCTTTATGTGATAGGTAAGTGAGCTTAGAACTGGGCTGATGTTCCTGGCCATGATGTTCAGACTTTTGCCACTGGGTTCTTACGCAAGATGAGATATCCAGTGAGAGGTTTCTTGTTATGCAGCTGTTTAATGCTTGCAGTGCAGGTGTGTGCACCTGAGCTAGTTGCTTATTCTATTCATAGTGTGTGGCAAAAGAAGCATTTCCAGGATGCAGTATAGCTCAGATAGGTAAACCACACTCTAGAACCACTCTTTTTTTGTGCTGTAGGTAGTAGGTTGGGTGTAGACACTGTCAAAGTTGGGTAAGGTGAAGAATGCATCTTACATGATGTCCTTTTTAGAGGGCTGTGAAGGCTGACTACATAGAAAAAGACATGTTCAGAACCAACCGGTAATGGAGAACTGGAGAGTTAAGTAGCAAAAACCTAGAGATATTTATAGTGTTTACTGACTTGCATATTCATATGGGATGTACAGTTGCCCTACTAAAGGATCACGTAAGGGAATTTAGTTTCTCAGTAGTACTGAGTTTTTTCCAATTTTTGGCAAATATTCCTGCTTAACTTTTTGAAAAAGCAAGTAATAGTTTTCTTCTAGGTTGTAATATTCTTTGTTGCCTGTGCATCAACTCCACTCATGTTCCAACAAAACATTTATAAAGGGAATGAATTAATGTAGAAATGTTAATTTTTAGCTGCACAAGTAGTGGGAGAGCTTTTAAATTGATACTCAAGATGTGCTAGATAATAACGTTAGCGTTCCAGACTTAACTGTGAAACTCTTGATTAGAAATGAAAAGCAAGTTCTAATAAGGCTGTAACTATTTTTCTGCTTTAGAAGTCTGAAAAAAAAATGGGTAAATACATCCAAATGATTTCTAGGTAAGCTTTAGACTCATTGAGATCATGTCTGTGCTGAGAGTGAGAAGCACTGTTTCATGTTTGTCAGGAGTGACCTGTTAAGTTGTAAAGCTCAATTAATAAGCCTTGGGATGTACGTATGTACAACTATATATTAAAATATTTTTAGATCTATAAAAATATATATCGAACCAGTATTCATTCATTGTTTCCCTTTCCTTAGGCGGGTAAGCACCAGGAATATGAACAGAAACTACTGCAAGAATTATACAAACTAAACCCCAACTTTCTCCAATTATCTACGGGTACAGTTGACAAGAACAAGAACAAAGTGACAGCACTGCAGAGGTATGATGCGTAAGTACTGATGCTGGACTGCCTGGCTATGCTTGCTTTCTGGGTATTCCCAAAGAAAAGTTTCTTATTCCTATTGCATTCCTGAAGTTGCCCGCTCTACTTAGCGGCTGTTATATGATAAACTCTGATACTGGTTTTCTCTGTGCGGAGACACATACACTGTTTTTGTTCTGACACAAAGTGAGTGTGAGTCTTACTTGGACAAGAAATGTTTTTCTGTTGTGTGAATCTGTATTACTAGTTCAGAATGAGGTAATCTTATCCTGAAAGACCACCTTGTAGATTACATTTGCATAAACATGTACTGTAGTATTTATTAAGGACTGTATGTCAGCTTTGTTGGTATGCTGTCGTGCTGAACGCAGTCTGTACTCTCAACTGAGACACCTTATGGTCTTAATGTATTTTTATTGTGTGGTTTTTTTACATCATGGTTCGTAGTGCAGTCCCTACACTTCATGTAAGGACCTTGGAAATTGAAAGTAAAACCTGTGTCTTTCCTTTGTGGAAGTAAGAATTCACAAGATGTGAATAAAAAGATTTCTTGCTTTCATCTAGTAAACTTAAGTGATATATTTTTCACTATGTTGTAATTGCAGATATTGCTTATTACTGCTTGTTAAAATAATAATTCTGTTGAAGTAGTTTGGAAATATTTATGAAAATATTTCTGTCCATGTGAGTATCTAAGCATACAAAAATAAAAAAAAAGCCGAAGGTGGTCAGTCCTTATGTGAATTACCCACTCAAATGTCATATTTAAAATAGAAATAAAAGCTGCTAACAATTTCCTTCACTCCTTTTTGTAGGATTTCATAATGAGATGGGCAGACTGGAATGTAGAAGCTACATTGCACTTTATACACACCTTGGCCTTATAACCAGGGTTTGTGTTGTGGGCCAGTTTATTTTTCAGACAATCATTTGCCACTGGCAGCATCAGCCTAAGCAAGACAGTGGGTACTGTACCTATAATATTGCCAATGGAGTTTGAATAAGCACAGTATAAATCTGAGAAGCGGTACCCCAACTGGTGTACTGGGATTATTTAACTTCTGGAGGAAGTGTCATATGCTCTTTGATGGCAAGTGGTCACGACCTTCAGTTGAATCTTCTGTTAAGGACTGTGCTATTTCCTAATTCTTGGGCACTAGCCCTGCTTTCTGCATTTGTGTATTGATTATTTTATGTTCAAAGTCTGAACTAATCTTCATTTGAAACCTAATGAGATCCCAGCAACACAAATGGTACCAGCGAGGAAAGCTCTAGCTGAAACTACAGCAAGCTTTTAAGCCTTCAGAAAGCAATTATGCGTTGGAGCTTGGCCAGTCTGTGGTGCTAACATTTTGGCACTTGTGGAAAAAATGGCGTGTTACTCTGAAGGCAACAAGTGGTCTGGAGTTAATTTCTCCTGTCAGATGAACAGCATCATCACAATACAGACTCTATTCTTTGCTAATGGCTAGGCACCTCCTTTTGAGTTGCAAAGTGAATTTCCTTTTACAGCTGGGATTTTGAAATGTTCCTTCAAGTCCCTTCTCATCAGTACAAAATGCAGCTTGTGAGCAGGTGAATGTGTGGTGTTCTCCTTCACAACTTTCTGCCCAAACGGGTTCTCGATTTTTGTCTGATTCATCCATATGATACCATATTAATATTTCTGGCAGTTTGTCAGAGATTCTGGCAAATTTGTGGTCGTGCTTGTGTTTCTGGGGTGCAGGTTTTCTGTCTTACTCTGGCATTGAACATAAGTTGAGTTCTAAATAGTAGATGTTTAATTATAGATATGCAATAGTAGAAAACAGTTTCTTAAACTTTGCATAAATGCATTTTAACAATTGTGTTCTAATTTGAAAGGTCCTCCTCAGACCTTTTTTCCTTGCTTCTGAAAGCAAATATTAAAAACCCGTAGTGCCACTCGTGTATGTGGGTACTCATCTCTTGGTATGTCATTTGATAATCATGGTGATTGCATCCTCTTAAAATTAGAGGTATACTCCACATTTAAAACAGATCAAGCACACTTTCTCTTTTTTCCTCCTGACCTTTTCATAAAGAACTGAAATGAATGCTTTCTTATGCTACCAGTGGAACACTTATGATCACTTGCTGGTCTTTTAGAGAACAGCCCTTTAGAAGCCTGCAGCTTTGAACTCAACTAAAACAAAAATCTACGTGCATAAAACCTCACCCCAAAACATTAAAGAGTTTCTCTTTACCTTTCTCTTAGGATGCAAAACTGACTTTTAACTGTGACATTTTAAAATTACTTTTAGTATAGAGATGGCTTTGTGCTGCAGCAGACAAAAATTTTGATATTTCAAATAGATTGTTAATGGATTGAAAGTCTTGTTGTCTCTAAATACACCTGACTTTTCTAAGGGTGAGAATATGAAATGACTGACATGGCACTGCTGCCAGTGTCTTCGTTCCCTGATGCTCAATATCTGATCAACTTGCTATCTCTTATTTCAGATGTGTACAAAGCAAAGATGAGATCTGTACACTAGGTCAAGGCTCTCACCTGTGTACATACTGTATAGGTATATGAGAAGATGGAGGTAGTGTAGCGAATCTTACAGTACTGAGATTTGAGTGTAGCTAGTCATATCAATTTTATCTGAATAGGAGTAGGAAGCACTTTTGTTGCTGTAAGCAGCTGTAAGAATGTTTGGATTCTCACTGTGAACTTGACCTAGAGATGTGGAGTAAATGTTGGACCATGTAATAAGAACATATTTATGAAGGGGGGCATCAAGAGGAACATGGATTAAAAAAATGTTTTTTGAAAACTTGCTCCTTATGAAGATAGCACTGGGACACTACAAACAGCATCCTAATTGAAGCAAATGAAAGCTGAAGTTCACATAAAAACTGCAGCACGTAAAGGCGAATCTTTTATAGTAGGACTGTAGGGCTAGTGGATAACATTACAATTGGATGCTTCAGTTTATATAAAATAACTATTTTCAGCAAAACCTTGGGCTTTCAATCTTTTCTTGACCTTCTTTCAGAACCGATGTGCACTCTGAAATGAAATTTAATTTTACTTTATATCAGGGAAGTAACTATGGTTTTAAACTAGAAATGGAGCAGTAGCTTGAATAATACGTTGTCTGACTGGTCTCATGGTCTGTTAGTAAAGCTGTGGACCCTTGTGTAGGTGTAAAATGCAAACTTCACCTCTTGGGGCCAGGCTTGGTAAGGCCTGGAATAGAAGACATTTATTTAAAAAAAAAAAAAAGTTTGTGATTCACAGAACTTTAAATACTTACAGGATGAAGCAAATAATTCTAGGGGAGGAGGAGGTGTGTGTAGGTCTGGATACTTGAAGCTGTTGATGGATTTTTTTTTAATTTTTTTCTTCTTTCCCCAAATGGGCAAGTTTGGACTGAAGTGTTGGCAGAGCAGCTATCTATTCAGTGAAGAAAATAGAATTTCCCCCAGTTTTCTTTCCCTTCCCTACCCCACTGATGCTTTTTTTAAAATCTGAGAGATAATATCCGGATAAGTCTATTCCTATGGTTTCTCTGGCACAAGGATTCATTTCCCCGGTGCTTACAATTTTTACAAACACTTTCTTCATAACTTGAACTCTTTTTTTTTTTTTTTTTTTACTCTTACCTTTTTCCAGACCCAACAGTAATAACAAAGATGCCTGGCCATCATTACAGAGTTCAAGTAAATCAGCCAACGGTTTAACAATGGAACACAGGAAAACGCCTCCTATATTAGAAAATGGCACAGACCCAGAACACATGACTCCAGATGGTGCAGACTCAGATTTCGGGTAATTGTGCTGCCTTTCATACTTCAGATAGCTTGCTTTCTCTCTCACTGATTGGTGTGGAGGGAATGATTTTTCCAGTCTCTCTCTGGTTGAAGAGCTGGATTCAAATCCTGATCAGGTCACAAAAAGCTGGGCTTAGCCTAGCCCATGTCAAAAAGACTGATTGGCAGATTGCTCAGGAGAGCCCTAGCATGAAGTTAGGAAGTGATGGTACCGGTAAGGGCTGAGAGGATCAACAGCTTATGTAGCCGTGTGGTCCCAGCCAGAGCTGAGCCCTTCATTTCTATACAGAAACTTCCACAAGAGTCACATGGTAGTTGCTATACATCGGGAGGCTTGTCACTTGGAAAAGCTTCAACAGAAGGAAGGGGTTAGGGCTGAACAGCTGTCATCTCTTTACAGTGGTGTGTTCCAGAAATGTAACTGCAGAGGTAAGGGTTATTATCACGCAGTTTCAGGGACAACAGGGCAGCAGATTCAACTGAGGCCTCTTGGTGCAGATGAAGTAATTAAATCTGCTTGCCATGACTGCCTCATTGCTAACCAACACTTTTTCCCTCTTTTGGTGCCTTCCTTGAGTCCACTTCTATCATAACCATCACTTGCACTTCTGATGGTAGTCCGCAGTCATGCTGATTTATTTTTTGTGGACCTCCATAAGTAATAATGGTTGGGCTCATTCAGAGGTTGGATGGGGAAAATCACAAGGTAAACTTTAACATTTCAAGAAGTGGTTTTTCCAGTTAAGTAGGTGAGGTTCACTTTAAGTCCATATTGAACCGATGCATTACCATTGTGGGTGCTGTTGAAAGTGGTACCTTCTTGTTAGACTTAACAGCAGTCCCATTGAGGTGTGGTCAGAGATCCTATGGCTGCATCTCAGTAGTGACATGCAGCTTCCTTACCTTTTCTGAAAAGAATGTACTAAATATAGGTGAAAATATTGTAGCCAGTAGGTAATGAATTTTGATAATTCTGAAGACTGGAAGCCTGTCTTAAAGGCTCCTTAAACAGGTTCAAATATAAGAAATACCGTTTTTCAGCACTTAGATTGTCATTAAAAGTTATCTTTACACATAGCTTTTTAAACTGCAGCATTGGGACTTTGTCAGTGGCGTTCGAAAAAGTATTTAGCTGTAATATAAGCTCTACAATCAAAATTATTGGGTAGTGAAAGGTCTACAGCAACCATTTGTGCTATAAGTATTCAGAAACTACTAACCCAAGGCCGTTCTTCCAAACAGAAGAACTTTGGTTGAGCTATTCAAACACAGAGTATAAAGTATATGTAAATCTTCACTGGAGTGATGCTTGGTTGCAGGTATAGTCCTCTGATTTTTCTTCTGTAATCATAAATACCTCAGCTTCAGTTATCTGAGATACCTACTCAGTGGGGTTTTTTGCACGAAAATTGTTGTTTTTTATTGATGCACTATTTTCCATTTTAAAGAAACTTCATAAGAATTAATTCTGCTAGGTTTCTACTCTAGCTATTTTGGGATGGGGAGAAAAATACAAGGGGAAGCAATTCTTAAGAATTTTGACCCTGATATGTGGCACTGTGCAATATTTAAAATTTGCAGCAGCAAGGGGTGTTTGAAAACAAGGTGTAGCTAGAATCTGAAGTCTGCACCCAGTTCAAGTCACTCTGTATTTGTCTTGTGCTAACAGATCATGCCTGTAATTTGACTGGTATCACATTCTGGTCTCTTACTGAACTCTAATTCATGTCTTTACTTCTGGTCCTTTTCTGTAGGACCGGTGTTTTGAGCTGTGCAGCCTGATGCCTATGCTTCTTTTATGGGTAGATAAAAATGAAAGTACCTTGAAGTTGTAAAGCAGAGATTTCAATCTGAACTTGAACAAATATGGTTTCATTAGTGTGTTATTTAGCATTATTAAGGCTTCTCACAGATGCCTGTCAGAATCTTGAATCCTGAGATGTGCCATTTCGGCTGAGTCATGTTAATTCCCAGTGAATAGCTTTCAGAGATGGTTTTCTGTTCTATCTTCTCTTTTATTCTCCTTACGTTTGATGGCAGGTTTTTTTTATGTTGTATCTCTTCCTGCTTTTTTCCCCTTCTGTCATGTCAAAGCTCAGTTTTCTCAACTTGGAACTGATTTCTGCTAGTTAAAGCTTGAAGGCTGGTGGGAAGCTTAACTTGCCACCAGGTCTAAATAGTTAATCTCTCTCCCCAGATTTATTTAGGACTTTTATGGGAACTATCAACTTAGTATTTGGAAAACAAATATGTTCCTAAGTTTCTCTCCAGTAGTAGAATAGATGGAACTGACTACAAGTGGAATACTGCCATAGTGTAAGAGTCCTTTTTTTCAATGGTGTAGAGTTGCTATGAACATGTTTAAAACTTTCCTTTTGTTCCTAAACAGGACACTCAACTAGCAGATGGAGAGTGGTGGGAAGAAGTATTACAGTATATGGCAAATGATTGGAATGCTTATGATTAAAAAAAGTCTCATAAACAATAAGTGGACTTTTTTCCTTCTTAATTACTCTAATTTTGCGTTGTCTTTATTCAAGGCTTTTCTACCACTATGAAAGCAAATGTTGATTTTCATTGTCTTACTGTCTCTTTTCCCCTCCCACTTTTGCAGCCCTATCGACAAACCTTCAGATTCCCTCAGTATAGGAAATGGTGACAGCTCCCAGCAGGTAAGACACGAAGATGAATGCTGTGAAAGTAAGAATTGATTTTGAGGGCTTGATGCAACTTGTAGTTGGAGAAGCAAGTACTTTATGAAATACCATAATTTTAAACAAAACTAAAAAATGCTACTGCTAAATTGATTTTTGTTTGACCTTGTACTGAGCTATGTGTTAACTAACCTAATTTCAGCCAAAAGTGTTGAGGAAATTTTTCAGCTGTATGAATGAAGAATATTTTATTTATGAACATTCATGTCCTAACTGTTTCTCTTCCTCTCTTGCTTGTAGATAACAAACAGTGACACACCTTCCCCACCGCCTGGTTTAACAAAACCCAATCCAGTCATACCCATCAGTTCATCTAACCACAGTGCACGGTCCCCTTTTGAAGGGGCTGTGACAGAATCACAGTCGCTCTTCTCTGACAACTTCCGGCACCCTAACCCCATCCCTAGTGGGCTTCCTCCATTCCCCAGCTCTCCACAGACTTCAAATGACTGGCCCACAGCACCAGAACCACAGAGCCTCTTCACATCAGGTATGTACACAGGTTGTGTGTCTGGCTATTGCTTGCTTTTGCAAGTGATGTCTAAAACTGCATAGAATCACTCTAGCACTTGCTCCATACTGGTTTTCCCTCCTTCAGGAAGGGTTGAAATGTCGCTTAACTACAAATGAATTGCACTGGCATAAGGGTTTCTTCTGAGAGAAACTTTACAGAGTTTCCCAGCTGCGTGGCTAAATTATCAGAGCATTTACTTTAGTTTTCTTTAGCCATGTGCCTGTCTAATGTGACATGTATGCATAATATTTAATGTTACAGGTTTTTTTGAGGGTGGAGAAATTATGTGGTGTCAGTGTATGTTGGTGTAATAATCTGATATAACCTACTATTTTAACACCAGAAGCTGTGCAGTGGAATTCAGAATTTTTTAGCATACTGCATAGTTATCTGATGATGCCTAATATTTCTCTTTCTGAGGTGAGATTATATACATTCAGAAAATATAAAAATAGTTACCTGTACTTTCCAGGTGCTTTCCTATGAGATACCATTTCACATGAATGAAACACTGGTTTGTGTGTACTTAAATAGTTTTAGGAATGATTAACAGTATTCGAGGGGTCACAAATTGTAAATCTGAGGGAGATGTTAGGAAATTAAACAAAACAATATCAGTAATAAATAGAATGTAAATAATACTTTAGGATACAGTTTGTTTACTCAGGGATTAGTCGTCTTTTGACATTCATCTCGCTTCTGGATGTCATAATCCTGTTCATAAACAATATTTTTACCAAGGAAATTACCTGCTGCTAAGGTACTTTATGCACCACTTTTGTGAGGATTAAGTAGCAGTGACAATTTCCAGGTAGTGGAGATACTGTTTGTTTCTTAGCGATATAAAATGTATGGTTTCTATTTAAATAAGAATACAAAAGACAAGGTTTTGTTTGTCTAGCGGCTCTATCTATTATCATGGATTTTAGAGTGAAAATAGAAGTGTAGCTTTGTCTTCCCAGAGAGGATACTGGGCTTAATTTTTAGTACTTGGAACAGCAGACCGAGTTCCCTACCAGCAGAGGGAGTTAATGTCGAGTGATACTGCCTTGTAAACCTCAGCTTGCATTACCACAGGAAAAATTCTGTGAAACTAGACCCAGCATTCACTGAACCTGAATAAGAAATGTAAACAGCATAATGAAATGAAATAGTAACTGAAAATGCAGTAAAAGGTTGATAATTTTTTTTTTTGCAAAACTGCCACAAAATATTTAACAGCTTATTGTAATGCAGTTTCTTAATTCCTTTAGTTTTATCAAGGTGTCTACCTAAATGTTGGCTTGTTTTTCTTCATAATGGTAGAAGGTTTGGGTTTTTATTGGCTGGGGTTTTCTTTCTTTAATTAACCACTACTCAGTTTTCCCCCTTTGAGGGGTAACAACTCCTTCCCCTGCCCTTTCTTGCACAGCAGAGCTGAAGCACAGCATTAATACTGAAAACAGAATGCTAACTGAATAACAACCTTATTTAAACTCTGCTTGGTCACACTTACCTTGAGTAATAGGGTTGTAAGGAAGGTTCTAAGCAAGTGTTTATTGGTCTCTTTCTGCTTGGTGCCGTTACTGAAAATACTTGACAAGGCTTTTCTGTAGTTCAGGAACAGATCCATTCTGCAGTAAAACTACTGTTTGTTATTTCTACCACTTCACCCTAAGAAATTTATGACAGTTTGAAAACTGCATTCTAAGCTGACAAATAGGGTGTCTTTGGGGAATGTATAAAGTACTATATGAAAGATGACTGGCAACATAGATTCACTCAGGCTAAAATTTTTGTATGGATCAATACTTACTAATTCTTGTTCTAAATCCTGTTGTTCTCCTCTCCAACAGAAACTATACCAGTATCCTCCTCCACAGACTGGCAAGCAGCTTTTGGGTTTGGTTCCTCCAAACAGCAAGAGGACGACCTAGGGTTTGACCCCTTTGACATCACCCGTAAAGCCTTAGCAGACCTGATTGAGAAGGAACTGTCAGTCCAAGACCAACCTTCCCTCTCGCCCACATCTCTTCAGAACCCTACCCCACACACTACAACTGCCAAAGGGCCAGGCTCTGGATTCCTGCATCCTGCTGCACCCACAAATGCCAACTCTCTCAGTAGCACCTTTCCAGTCATGCCACAGAGGTTCCCACAGTTTCAACAGCATCGAGCAGTTTACAACTCCTTCAGTTTTCCAGGCCAAGCAGCTCGCTATCCTTGGATGGCCTTTCCACGCAATAGCATCATGCACTTGAACCACACAGCAAATCCCACCTCAAATAGTAATTTCTTGGACTTGAATCTCCCACCACAACACAGCACAGGTCTGGGAGGGATCCCTATATCAGGTAGGTGAATCGGGAGAGCTGTGAATATGACTTAACTCATGCTTTCAGCTTTTCTTAGCCAGGACAGGAAAAGGGAATAGCCAGCTACCAGTTGTAGAGTGGCATCTCTTGACTGTCATACTAGGTTTATGAACGGAGGGAGGAATATTGTTTTAAATAGGCCCTTTCCATTAAAAAACAGTATCTGGTGTTTAGCCTTGTAATACTGAGCTTTATAAGGAAGGTGGAGTATTCTGTGCCCGCTTAATTTTGTGCCAAAGCAGACTAGTATTTATGTTCTTGAGTCTTGCCAGACTGGCTTTTCTTAAGAGTAGGCCCTGGAAGCTTGTTGTGACTTCCACGTCGACATGCAGGTGCTGACCAGAGTTCTTAAAATTGTGCAAAAAAAATTGTAATGATGGTAATTTGTGCCAGATGTCTTGGCTGGGTTGTTCCCTCTTGTGCATAACCAAATGGCTGCACAATAAGACATTCAGTGCTGTTCATTTTTGTACTTCAGATGGCCTTAATATTATGCTAATCTTTCACTGAATGGATGTTTGCAATGTGTGTAAGAGGATTCATCTTGGTTGTGAGGGTTGTAATGTTGGAGGAAAATAAACGTGCAGTCAGGCCAGTTCAGGCTGCCCTCAAGGGACTGATAGGTTCTTGCAGCAAGTGTTACAATTAAGGAGCTAATTATGACGATAATTTTCTTGATTAAAAATTCACTTCTGGAATTTGAAGTCCTATGCTTCTGGTTTAGCTTGGCTGAAACAGGTTCTCTTTTCCTAACAGACGAAAAAAATCGTATGAAGTGTGTAGATGAACTGCAGGTAGAAAGTCTCTAAGTTCTTTGTAGCCTCAGGATGGAGAAAACGGCTTCTTGGGATGTTGCCAGTGTTTTCTTTTCATGCATTTTGAGAAGTATTAGCTATGCTATAAGCAAGTGACCTAGAAAAAGTCACTGTGTGGTTTTGATGCTCTAGTACAAGAGCTGGTTTTGGCTGTTATTTCCCTGTACTTTGTCCTCCTTGAAGGCTCGTTGAAGCTATGGTAGTGCTGTAGGGCCCGTAGGCGGATTCTTAGTATAAACACTAGGTCCAGACTACAAATCCAAGTAGTTCAAAAGTAGTAGTTCATATTCTTTATACTGGCAGTGACAAAGCTTTTTGATTAAAATGACTGTTGTTTGTTATACTGAAGTTAAAAAAAAAGGCAAACCAGAAAAAACCCACACCCCACCCAAACCCAAAGAAATAAATCATTTTTTTACACAGCATCAAACATGCAGCATCTGTAGCACTTTGTTTCTCACTTTCCCCTAAGCTTCCAGGAACTTCATCAGACAGCAAGCTTTGACTCTACCGCTCAGTTCTAAAAATGGCTAGTTCAGGGGGCCAGTAACAAGACTTATCTTCTGGACTAGGGAGACCAGAAAAATCCAGGAAAAGATCTGTTTGTCATACAGGTTGATTCTAGGTTTGTGAAAGTATCCTTCAAATTGTATTGCTTCAATTGTCTTGGGCAGTTTGAAAGTGGATTTCTTTGTAGAAGCCTCAAAGGTCCTTGGTGTGACTCCTGAAGAGCTGCTTGTGGTGTTGGTTGATGAGGAAGATGCACAGCCCATGCTGTGTAATGTTTTAAGGCAACAGAGTTGATATTTAAGTATATCTTTTTCTGTATGCAACTGCTAGAACCAGTTAATCTCAATATTTTTGGCAGATACTGGGCTAAAAACAGAAAATAAGCATCTGCTGTAGTCTCTATGGAAAGTTCCTTTGAGTTGGTCTTAATCTCCTGTTACAGAAAACATTGTTAGTTGCCTGGCTGGCAGTTGGCTACCAGCAGTTGCTGCAGTGCAAACACTTCTCAGCTGATCTGCATGTCAGCTTTGATATGTCTTGAAGAGTCATTTGCACACACAGAGATTACTCCTTTTTCTTTTTCTGATGTCAGAAATCCGCTGAAGTGTTGGGTAGTTTTGGTGTTCTTTGCTGGGTTATGGATTTCTGTTATTTGTATAGTATTTCGTGCCTAGGGTTTTTTGCAGTGATCTAACTGCTTCAGAAGTACAAATAAGTTGAAAGTCAGGAGATGTCCTCATACCTCTCTTGTGCTGACAATAGTTTCCATTTTACTGATTGTTTCTTTTCAAACCTGTGTCTAGTATACAGGTCTCAACTAATTCCTTTTTATGTTCTTTTTGAAAGAATAATTCCTGATCTTCACACTTGCTTTTAATGTATCAGCAGTAGGTATATAATTATAGACTTTTTGTAGTTTCCTTGTTTGATTTACAAACACAGATGTCTGGTGCCATAAGGGGAGGGAAGTGGTGTACAAATACAGAGAAATCATATTGATGGGACGTTATTACAGTGCATTATAACAGATCAGTTGTAGTGTACTGGAAGCTCCTTTTTGATAGCCACTTTGTTAGTCTGTATTAGGGTGTTTTGGGAAATGCCATTAACTCAGCTGTTTCAGATGTAACAGCAAAAGAAACCTAGCACAGGGGAGACCTCACATTCTGTCTTCTAGCAGGGACCCTCAGCTGCTCTCCAAGTTACATGTTTCCTAAGGTCTTTGATCACAGTTTTTTACAGGACTGTAAATTCCTGAAGCAGATGATACTGGACCAGTCACTTGGCTGGGGACACACACAAACACACACCTTACACCCTATTTCTTCTGTGTGCTCTATTCAGTCAACCCTCTTCAACTTTTTGATTTTTTTATGTGAAAACAAGCAGATCCAAACTTTTATAACTTCATATGAAGTTAGTATGCTATTTTCTAGGCTTTCTGTAATCTGATTTTTGTTTTCCCGTAGTATATTTGTGGTTTGGAAGCTTGTATGCAGGAAACAGTATGTTTTAAGCTGTTTCTGCTTTAGCTAGGCATTAGTATTCACATAAATTTGAAATGCTCATGTCTGACATGTTAAATATAATGTTCTGAAGTTACCTTTTGTTTAGTCAAGAATCAGAGCTGTGCTGTGTTCATAAGCTCCAGGTCATGAACATGGCTATTTTGTGATGTGCTGAGAATACAGGTACTACCCATGTTTTGTTTTAAGCTCTTAAAAATTATTTCTATATGGAAGCTGGTAGCCTGTTTCTCAGAGGAAGTAGTATTTATTAAACTCATTCTGCAGTTTCCAGTGAAATGGCACAATGACACGATTGACTTCATGATTTTATTATGCATATACTCATAATGTGTCATATTCATCAGGCTTACATTTGTCCCCAACCCATATTTAAATTAACTTTTGATTGACTGATTGCCAGACTATCATTTCCTCCCCACCCCACACGGTATGGTTTTGCAAACTATAGCAGATGTTACGTGGTCTCATTGTAAGGGACAGCTTAGGCTTGTTGCTGTTCTCTGGCGTGGGATGGATGGGATGATTTATGGTCCGATTGTAACTCTATTTCAGGAGAAGAGTTCAGTGACTTTTTATTTATGGTCAGCATGATTGTTGCTAAAAGCAAACTTACCCTAGATTGTGTGCAAGCTATCCTACGAATATAGGACAGTGGCTATCCCTTATTCTGCAGATAATGCCAAAGGAAAGATCCACTGACAGCAACATGAGTGAGCATGTGTCTTTATTTTTGTTATTTTAGGATAACAGAAAACTTGCTGTAATTTGATAGCTAATGCACTTCCATCTTTGCTACCCTACTGCCCAGTGGTGTGTTCTACTTTACTCTATGATCCAATACTATACTTACTATGTAAGATACTATGCTTATATAGTACTATGCTTATATAGTAAGTATATAAGTAAGTATAGTATCGGATCATAGAATAAAGTAGTTCTCAGATTAACAGTGTGTTTTGAGACAGATACTTGTAAAATGAGATGCATGCATATTAATATTGGGAAAATAGAAATACATTGTTTTATTTCTTGAGTTTATTGGGCAGTTGGTAGTCATTGACTTTATTACACAGAAAAAGTGTAAGAACAAATTCACACAGAGTATGAAGAAAACATTGTAAGTGGTTATTCCACCTTTCCTGTCAGATCTATGCAAGGTGAAGTACTTGACATTTTGAAACATTGCCTGTTGTTTATTAATTTCATAATTATCCTGAACACAGTTCTAAATAAGAAAATAACTTTGTAAGAACTTACCAATTCAGTAATATAGTTTGAAATTTGAACTCTTCCAAGACTAATGCTACACATTGTGTGTATGTTCTTCCCATATAAAGCATTGAAACCCATTGACTTGCAAGGGACCACAAGGATTATCGAGCCCAACTCCTGAGTCCACACGGGGCAGTTGTAAAAATTAAACCATACATCTCAAAGCATTGTCCAAATGTTTCTTGAACACAGACAGGCAATTTATGTATATCATGTATACATTAGAAATCTAAGAGAGGAAATAGTCAAGTGGACGCAGAGACAGATAGGAAGCACAAAGAAAAAGGTTCCTGAAGTTAACTTGGTGGATTTTACAACTGTTACTTTAGCCACAAAGCTGTTGATGTGGACATTACAGTAGACTTGTTCCTGAAACTTCAAAACTTGAATGTCCTAAGTCTTTGTAGTTGGATATAATTGACAATTCAATATTTTATTCTCCCCAACGTTTTTGTTTTGACTTTGTGGCCTGACAGATGGAATTATGTATATTTAAAGATGAATTTGAGACAAATAGGTAGACAGTTCTATTAAGTTTGAGTGCCATCCAGCAGTCTTTGTGCTAATGGCCCTGCATTTCTTATCAAGGCACTGATTGATTGGAATGCACATTTGAGTCTTGCCTGCATTTAGGTTTCTGTGAAGCAATAGCTGGCAGCAGGAAGGGCAAAGCAATGAAGGTTATACTAACAAGGTCCAACTTCTTCCTGCTTAAGTCTTGGCTTTTCTATATCTGAACAACTTACGGTGTTGCATCTTCTCCCACTTTATATTGTCTGGCCTCTGTGGCCCCAGCTATTGAACATGAACATCAAATCCTTTCTTGCCTAATGCTACTTTTTGAACGATATTT